AGGGGGGGAAGGAGAGAGGGAGGGAGAGAGAGAGAGAGAGAGAGAGAGAGAGAGAGAGAGAGAGAGAGACTGGGAGTGGTACAAGGCTAAAACCTCTCAATACCCCCAGTGATGTACTTCCTCCAGCAAGGCCACACCTCCTAAAGGTACAATGACCCTCCCCAAGTAGAGTCACTAATGGGTGAACATACTCCAAGTGCTCAAATACTTGAGCCTGTGATAGACACTTCTCATTCAAACTCTATCTATCATCTATCTATCTATCTATCTATCTATCTATCTATCTATCTAATCTATCTATCATCTATCTATCTATCTCTATCATCTATCTCTATCAACTATCTATTGTCTATCTATCTATCATCCATCTGTCTATCCTATCACTATCTATCATCTATCTCTATCATCTATCTATCTATCTATCTATCATCTATCTATCTATCATCTATCTATCTATCTATCTATCTATCATTTATCTATTTATCATCTGTCTTCTATCTATCATCTATCTATCTATCTATCTATCTATCTATCATTTATCTATCTATCATCTGTCTTCTATCTATCATCTATCTATCTATCTATCATCATCTATCTATCTATCATCTATCTCTATCATCTATCATGTATCTCTATCAACTATCTATTGTCTATCTATCTATCTATCTATCTATCTATCTATCTATCCATCCTATCTATCACTATCTATCATCTATCTCTATCATCTATCTATCATCATCTATTATCTATCGTCTATCTATCTATCATCTATCTATCTATCTATCTATCTATCTATCATCTATCTATCTATCCCTCCTTCTAATCTGTCTATCTAATCTGTGTTTGACAGTGTCACTTGTCAACTTGACACACCTGGGAAGAAGAAACTTTAATTGGAATATTTCCTCTATCGGATTGGCCTGTGGGCACATTTGTGAAGCATTTCCTTGGTTGTTGAATAATGTGGGGAGGCCCAACCCAATGTAGGTAGTGCCATTCCTGGACAGGTGGTCCTGGGTTGTATAGGAAAGCAGGCTGAACACAGGCCAGGAGAGCAAGCCAGTATGCAGTATTCTGTGGTCACTGCTTCAGCCCCAGCCTCCAGGTACTAGTTCTACTCGAGTTCCTACTTTGGCTTTCCTCAATGTTGAATTATGATCAGGACATATAAACCAAATAAATCCTTTCCTCACCAAGTTGGTTTTGGTTAGTGTTTGATCACCACAATAGAAAGCTAACTAAGACACTATCTTTCATCTATCCGTGCATTATTCCTCTAACTATTTATTTATCTATCATCTATCTAGTTGATTTAATAAAATGCAAGTTAGTATCAACTGACAGGTATATCATTGTTATAGAAGCACGGAAAAATTCTGTTCACCAGTGGCTGCCAGCTCAGCTTGTCTACAGCAAACGTGGTTTTGATCATTCAGAATGTCCATTTTTAACAGCTGGAAGTGATCTTTATTTGGGCTTCTTTTGCAGTGTGAGGTTCCTGTATGATGACGTGCTCCCACACATAAAAAGGAAAACACTGGTGGAGACATTCCTCAGCTCCTTTCCCACCGCAGCCCCAGTGAGTCATTTCTGGAAGCATTTCTGTTATCTCTTCGGTCTCCTTGTGTGCCATCCCTCCCTCCTCTGCAACTCCTTTGGCCACTGGGTTTTTCTCAGAAGGGCCATCTGGTACTCACGTCAGGGTCCCTGGAAGACATGATGAACCACAGATGGAAATTCACACAGCTCCATGTGCTGTCCTCCAAGTGCAGGCTGCAGTCTGTATCACCAGCCCCTACAACCCATGGGCGGCAGAGCCTGTCACCTCAAGGGACTCTCCATGTCCCTCCAGGACTAGGTTTCTTTGTAGGGACAGCACTATAGTAGAAAGTGCTGTGAGTTGGGTTGGCTTGGTATCTTGTCACTAAGGTGCTTCTGTAATGGTCTTTGGTCTGATGGAAGTGACTCAGAGTTGGACTCACCAGCAACCTTAGAAGGCACTCAAATCATAAGACCATGACTCTTGATGGAAGAGCAGACCTAATTTCTAGGATGATTTTAAAGAAGAGTGATTTTGTTCTTTTATAAAGAGTTATTTTTATTGAATTTTTGTGTATTTCATACAGAACATCTCAATCAATCTTAACCATTTTATACCCCCTTCCCCACTGGCACCCTCCCACCCATCCCCACTGGAATTCATACATTCTGACATTTGTGTTAAAGCCTGTAGTGTCAAGTTAGTGTCTCCAGACGTTCCTCAGTGCAAATTCATCTGCTGAAGTCTAGTCAGCTTATCTAGAGTCCCTCACTTTAGGAAGATCAGCTCTTCCTCACCCAGCAGTAATCAGTTGCCAATATTTCTTCAGCTAAGATTGGTGTCTGGTATCCATTTCCCCAGTTCTATTCTGGGTTTTGGTCTGCTTGAGTTTGCATGGGACTTGTGTACACTGACACCATTGTTGTAGAGTCATATGAGCAGGGTCCCAGGACTCTATTTCCATATAGTCCTGCACCTCTTCCCTGGCTCTTACAGTCTTTCCACCCCTCCCTGCTCCATGATGCTCCCTGAGCCCTGAGTGGGTGAAGTTTAATATAGAAGTCCTGTCCAAGGACCAGCATTCTGCAGATTCTTAATGTCTATGCTTTGAGCACTTGTGACCTTTTGTGTTCCTGATCCTCTGTTGCATGAGGGAGCTTCATTAATGAGAATTGAGAGATTCATTAGTGACTTCTTTGCCCCTGTTCTATGTTCCATGAGCCTTAGGTATAGAGATTGCATTGTAGATGTGCCACTTAGGCCTTGGCAATTCATAGACCATGTCTGTGTGTGACTAGTTGTGATACTTGGCAATAGTCTCCATCTGATGCAAAAGAAGCTTCATTAATGAGTGGTGACTTGGATATTTGTCTGTAAGTATAAGGATACATATTTTGCACATAGTAAGAAATTACATTAGTCTAGGGATATGACAGTCTTGGGGTTTTCTAGAAGATCTATGAGCTCTCCAGACATGTGTATTTGGTTATGTTTACAGTACCACGTGAGTTCCCTCTCATTGAGTGGGATTTTAGTCCAATTAGGGAGCTGTTGATTGACCCCAAGACAAAAGTGTCACTACCGCACCAATGTAGTATCTATGGTGGCCATTGATGTGTTTATTTGGTCTTGAAGCTGGTGTTGGACATCGATTGATGTTTTCTCTTGGCACCTTCATAGTGTTCTCCAAAGCTATGAGAGCTAGCCTTCAGGGGAAGTGGCTTTCATGTCAGTTCCAGGTCCATTGCTCCAAATCCTGTGTCTGAAGTATGTTCTGTCTTTAGCTGTAGGGTCTTACCTTCAAGGTCTGTGAGGCAATCAAGGACTGTGACAATAGCCTGTGTAATTTGGGGAGTCTCTTGGACCACCCTAGGCAACAACTCAAAGGAAGGTTTCTCCTGTCTGGCAATGTTTTTTGTTATGTAGCCTTCAGCTATACACTTGGGCTCATATAGAGATATTGTATGTGTAATTTGTCCTTAGGTTGTTGAACTAATATGATTCCCTCTGTTTTGTTTTTTAAACTAGCTAGACATTATTTATCTCTCCTCTCTCTCTCCCTGTCTAACCCTTCCACCATGACTTCCCCATTTTCCCCATTTCTCCCTTGATAATACCAGTCTCCTATGGTCCCACCTCTCTTGAGCTCCTTTTGTCCCTTTATCCCAAAGTTTCTTTGTATAACCCTCCCCTTACCTCCCATTTAAATACCCCCATTTTAATCCATTTCTCCTTTAGTAATGCCTGCCTCCTACTGTTCTCACTCAGGTTCTTTCTTTCCCTTTACCTCCCTGGTTCCTTTCCATTGTCCTGGTTCCTGCAGTTATATCTGGATATATACTCACATACAAGGATTTGGTGCTAGGATCCACATATGAGGGAGAACATATGTCATTTGTTTTTCTGAGTCTATGTTACTTCACTTAGTATAACAGTTTCTAGTTCCATTCATTTACCTGCAAATTTCATGATTTTGTCTTTCTTTACTGCTGAGTAGAACTCCATTGTGTAAATGTGTGATTTTGTTCTTAAAAGATACTGAGCAGACAATATATACCTTTTTAATGTGCAAAGATGCAGGTTCATTATGAAGAAAAGCAAGACCTTACTGTGGTGTGTTCCATCTAACACTGTGGAGAGCTTTGGGGATTTCTGAGTCTGGAGAAGTTCCGTATGTAACTTGCAGCCTAGATCATGAGGAAAATTACCTCTTGAGGCCATTTAAGGAGGACAGAGGCATGGCCACGGAATATTCCAAGGGTTGGTACATGCCGGGGATGTTGATTGCTGAGAGTCTTTGCCTAGGAGGTCAGTGAAAGGAATCTGTGTTGAGCAGCACTGGCCTGGGCCTGGGAGGGATTTAGTATCTAATAGTCAAAGGCAATAAGAATAGTACCAAAGTTAGAAGGTCATTTTGAGCACTGAATTTGGTGATGTAAAGTTTTCAGTCCACCTGGTTCATCTTCTTCTCATGTTTTCTTTTACCGTGGTCTGTGTTTTGATCCTCCACCCCCAGATGCTAGAGGCCAGTAGGGAAGATGCAGGGGAGCCACACTCAGTCTGTGCTGCTATCACAAAGTTCAAGGGTTACAGGATGAGGATGGCCATGCCCACTGTTGTTAGCCACCATGTGGGTGCCGTGAACTGAACCTGGGTCTTTCACAAGAGCAACCAGTGCTCTTAATTCACTGAGTATCTCTCCTGTCCCTGTCTTCAAGTCTTTTTAGAGGAAAATGAATAATTTCTGAAGAGCCAGTATTCTTCAAAGTAAACTTCTTCAGCTTTCTTAATGCCTACAAATAAAGGAAACAATCTCTTGGAAATTTAAAAATAGGGATTTTCTTTACTTTTTAAAGGAGACACCCAAACACAGGAATTCATTCTGGTGTTTCATACTATAGTGGGCTCACCATAGACTACAAGACAGTAAGGCTCAGGTACCATTGTGGAAGAGGGGGTGGAAAGATTGTACAAGCCAGGGAGGAGGTGCATGACCATATCGAAACAGCCCTACAAGCTCCTGGGACCCTGCACATATGATTCTATGGCAATGGTGTCAGCATACACAAGTCCTATGAAAACTCAGGCAGGCAAAAACCCAGCATAGAACTGGGAAAATGAACAGCAGATCCCAATCTTATCTGAAGAAATATTGTCAACTGATTACTGCTAGGTGAGGAAGAACTGATCTTCCTGAAACAAGGGACTCTAGATAGGCTGACTAGACCTCAGTGGATGGACTTGCACTGGGAAACGTCAAGGGACACTGACTTGATACAGTGGGCCTTAACAAGGATGACAGAGTATATGGACTCCAGTGGAGGGGGTATGGGAGGGTGCTGGTGGGGATGGAGGTATAGAGATAATTAAGATTATTTGAGATAAATTTTTAAAAAAGAAAGTTTTCTTTTTCCAGCACACAGATATGTGTGGTGTTTGGGGTGAGACCAATGCTAATTACCTTGAAGTGGTTATTACATCTTGTGTACATGTACTGAATTATCACACTGGACCCTAAAATACATGCAAATCTGTGTTCATAAATGTATAGAGAAATGGGAAATTTATCAGAGATTTTAGTACAAAAGATGAAGCGTCAGCAGATTCTGTCTGGAACATGGATACATGGGCACCAAAATTCAAGTAAGACAGAATAGCTCAGCAGGTACAATTTCCTTCATGCTCCTGTTTAGTCCTGTTGCATTAATTCCTGTGTGAATCTATTTCAGAGCAAGCTAATTAGGGTTCAGGGTAGACGAAGAATTTTTCCAACTCTACGCAGGAAATGCTCTTGTGATGATTCATAATGAGATGGGAAACTCTTGATTCCTGCATCGGAGCCTTCTGCCAGCCTCCTGCTGGCTGGTTCAAAGCCCCTGTAGTACCTTAGCTTTCTGTGTGTATCCTACCTGAGATTGGGCAGTTTCTGTCCATGTTTTTGCTTCATTGGTCTGTTATAACGATTTATCCCCAACTCAGTGACTTGAAATACTAGAAGTTTATGTTCTCTGAATTCTGGGGTCTGGAAGTCTGAAATCCAGACATGAGCAGGTCCATGTTCTCTCCAGCATTCATGTCTTTGCTGCTTCTAGGGTCTGGCTTGGCTCATGGCCACATCACTACCTCTATCTTTAGAATGTCTTCTCATTTGCAGGTCTTCTGTCATTTGGAAGGACACTGTTAAGTTTCAGGGAGGGTGAGGAGAGGAAGTTCAACCGAGAGGTGCTGTGTCAAAGATCACCCTTCAGGCAAGAGATTTATTAATATTGTAGTAAGCAGTATGGTGAGAGTTTCAGCCCCACTAGACAAAGCAAGGTATTTGCTATCAAAGGTTCCTGAAGAAAGGAAAGTTTTTACAACTCTGAGGAAGCAGCTTGTTAGTATGTGACCAAGGGAGGAGAGCAGGCATGTGTGACTTAAACTGCATGATGGGGTCGCTCTTTCTCTGAGTAGCAGGGTGGGGCTTGGTTAATGTGTGACCCATACAATACAACAGAGGTAAGGTTGCCTCAGACAGGAAACAATGGGGC